ACCTCAGCTCTGCAAGGGGGAGGAAGAGGAGAGTTGGGGACAGGGGAAGCAATCAGATTTTGTCCTGGATTAGGCCATTTTGGGAGCACTGAAAGCTTGCAGGGTCCCCAGCCCGAGTTGCCCCTGAGATCCTGAAATAACATAGCACCCAGTACCCTAAGAAAGCAGTAATAGGATCAGCCCAGACCTTCCCTCTAAAAGTACATATATCAGTATGCACTAATATCAAGTTTGAAATCAGGAAGTAAGGTAAGAAGAAGGAGCAAACAGAAGACTCCCATCATAAGCTATTACAGTGACTGGGATGCTCAAGGCACAAAGCTGGAAGAGAATTGCACTAAAACATCTACAAGCAAAGCCTCAAAGAAAAACACAACTTGTGCACAAGTTCAGTTAGAATTCCTAGAAGAAATGAAACAAAAGTTTAAAATGGTTTTTATAAATTAAATGAAAACTCTAGAGAAAAAAATTTGGGAAAAAAATAGAAGAAACATTTGGAAAGAGAACCACTTGGCATAAGAGGTATAAAATTTTGCCCAAGTAACAAACTCCCTAGAAATTAGAATGAACCAAATAGAAGTTCTAATCACTCTATGAAATAAATATTAAAACAAAGTCAAAAGGCTGAAAAAAATGAAATTATATGGTGTCTCATAGCAAAAACAACTGACCTGGGAAACAGATCCATTAGGGAGGAAAAAAACCAAAATTGGACTACTTTGAAAGGCATTATGAAAAGCCTAGACATCATATTTCAAAACAAAACAAAAAACTGTCCAGATCTCTTAGAACCAGAATGCAAAGTAGAAGTAGAAAGAATCCACTAGTCATTTCCCAAATGAAAACTCCCAGGAACAGTATGGCCAAATTTAGAGCTTCTACTAGGTCAAAGAAAAAATACTATAAGCAGCAAGAAGAAAAAAATTCAAATACTGAGGAGTCACAGTAAAGATCATACAAGATTTAGCAACCACTACCGTAAAGGAGCAGAGCATTTGAACTGCATACATTATTCCAGAAGGCAAAAGATACAAACTTATAGCCACTGACCTTTAATAAAATAGTGACCTTCCAAGCATTCTGGATGAAAAGACCAGAGCTGCATAGAAATTTTGAAGTTCAAGCACATGAATTAAGAGTTATAAAAAGGTAAACAGTCCTAAGGCACTAAACAAGGATAAAATTTACATTCAAATATGGGGAGATGATATGTTTGTCCCTTAAGAATCTTATCATCATGAATCTTATCAAGAAGGAATCTAATTAGACAAGGTGTGGCAGTGGCTCTATTATACATAGAGATCTTAAGAGAAAAGTAGAAAGAGGAGGGGAGAGCAATGTGCTGGGGGTGGGGTGTTAGGGAAAATCATGTCAAATAATCGGGTGCACAAGTAGACATTTATAGGAACAAAGAGGGGGATAGGGTAGCTGACACTTGACCCAAACTCTCATCTCACCTGATCAAAAAAAAAAAGAAAGATTATACACACATATGTAGTTGGATGAAGAAATAAATTTCACTCCACAGGGAAATAGGATGGAAAGGAGTAAAAGGGGAATTGGATGGTAGATTAAAGGAGGGATTAGAACTAAGCAAAACAAACTTGTCAGATGGAAAAAAATATATAGTTCTTTTTGAGGTGGCAAAGAATGGGAATCGGAGGATGCCCATACATTGGGGAATGGTTGAACAAGTTATGGTATGTAAATGTGATGGAAGACTGTTGTGCTATAAGAAATGATGAGGGATGGTTTTGGAGAAGCCTGGGGCAACTTATATGAGCAGATGTACAGTGGAGTGAACAAAATCAAGAGTATAGTTTATACTATGAAAACAATATATTAAAGACAGACAACTTTGAACTAATTAGGGATTCTGCTCAGTGCAATGACTAACCACAATTCCAGAAAACTAATGATGAAATGTGACACCCACTTCCTAACAGAGGTAAAGGACTTAGTACAGAATGAGACATTTTTTCAATACAGCCGGTGCAGAAATTTGTTTTTCTTGACCATACATGTTATAACCGGTTTTGTTTTTCATTTTTAATTGGCGTGGGGGGCGGGGAGGTTGGTGTGGAAGAAAGAGAAGGTGGATTTTTGCTGATTGAAAATAACATACATGTATATATAGGTATGTGTATGTGTGTGTGTGTGTGTGTATATATATATACGCACATATATATACATATACACACATATATATACATATATATGTATATGAAATTTATAAAAGCTCATAAAGGAATCCCTGGTTCCTTTGGAAGACAAATGTCTATCTTGTTAGCCCTACTAGCTTACAGATGTCATTTACTAAAGCCTACTGTTGGGTCATTGCCAAAGTTAATTAGCCTTGGCTTCCATCACCAGATCACATCCATGCTCTGGGACCTTTGCCGACTCCCCTTGTCCATCCTCCTCAGCCTTGACCTCAATTTTGTATTCTATTTTAGCTCCTCATAGGTGTAGTTCCTCATGGAACTTCCCCAAGTTCTTTAGTGCCTCAGTTGTGGCATGGAGGGGATTGATGAAGTCTGGAAGCCACATTTATATAGCACTTTAAGATTTGCAAAATGCTTTACATTCATGAATACATTTAGTCCTCATAAATACTTTCAGGGTAGCTACTATCATCCCCATTTTACAGATGAGGAAACTAAGGCTGAAGGATAGGTGACTTGCCTAGTATAACATAGCAGTCAGTGTCTGAGACTGGATTCAAACTGAGGTCTGTCCTGATTCTCAGTCCAGTGTTTTATCTACTATGCCTAATATCTACCATGAGGGTGCAAGTGCTGACAAACCTTGCTAAACTGGAAAGGCTTTGAGTGTGGATCATTTATTAGCATCATTCTAGCTAAGTACAGAGAAGCACTTCCCTAGAAGGCTGGCCAGTAAGCAGTAACATTTTTTGGCTATGACAATTCATGAATGTTGTCTACTACAGAACAGATGAGTTGTGATCTATATTCAAGCAGAAGATGACCTGCACTGGTGAAATCTTGGCTTCCTTGCGTATTCATGGTTTAGGTGGGTTGGGCTAGATGACCCCTCACTTCTTTTCTAAATCTAAGATTCTGTGCCTATATGATGTATGTGTCCTGCCATCTTAACTAGACTGTCTCTGGCCACTTATAGCTCCATAGAAGTTGCCTCCCCTGGGCCTGTCCAGGAAGGCTTCCTGAGCAGCCATTCCATCACATTCCAGGCATCGTCTCTGGCCATCTGCAACTCCACAGTAGTTACCTTGCCCCTGCCTAGGCAACCCCCTCCCATCCCCAAGCTTTCCAGCTTCCATCGCTTCCCGAGGCTCTGGGACAACTTCACCTTACCTGAATTTATTCTACAGTGATTGACATACACCTATGAAGTAATTTGTAAAGCACTCGGCACAGTGCCTTGCATGTAGTAGGTGCTGTATAAATGCTCATTCCCTCTCCACTCCTCTCCTTATCCCAGTGATTCTGAACCCTCAAATGTCATTGCTCAAACCCCATTCTTGGCCCCCTGCTGCCTGCTTCATTATTCCCGTTCTTCTCAACTCAACCACTCTAAACCTACCCAGCGGTTCCACTGTGCTCTCTGGAATGCCTGCTCCATTGGTAACAAACCAGCTTTCATCTTAAATCTTTTCCTTTCTTGCTGTTTCCATCTTCTTGCTGTCACTGAGGCCTGGCTCTACCTTAATGGCACAACTTCCTTGGCCACTGACTGATCATGGAGGAAATTGGAATACGCCTGGCCCCCCCGACTGCCACTTCCAGGCTCTCCCTCTACCACCATCATTGAGTAACCTCTCCTCCTTTGAAGTTCATTCAATCCATATCCATCACCTAAGTAAGATTCTGCTGGTTGTCATCTGCCGACCCCAAGACACTTTTTATTTCCTTCCTCAGTGTTTCTCTCTTCCTTAACTCCTGCTGTCATATTCAGCATGCATACTGATACTTCTTCAAACACTTTAACCTCCTACTCCTCAGTCCCACCTCAGCTACACAGAGAGAGGGTCATATCATTGATCTTTCGTTATCCACAAACACATCATTTATACATTCAGGAACTCTAAAATTCCCCTATTTGACCATAATCTGTTGTCGTTCCACCTCTTCCTCTACCTTTACAACAATTGTCTCCTTTGACACTGCCACCGCCATTATCATAGTGCGGGCCGTGCTATTGCAATAGCCTGCTCATTGGTCTCCCTCACTCCATTCCATCTTTACTCAGCTCTGCAGTTACTCTTCTGAAAGTGCAAGTCTGATCCTATCACCCCACCCCACCCCCACTTCAGTCAACACTAGTGGCTCCATGTTACCTCCAGGATGAAATATAAAATCTTCTGTTTGGTTTTTTTAACTCTCTCCTTCCTACATTTCCAGTCTTCTTACACCCTGCAGCCCACCACATATGTTGCTTTCCAGTGACACTGGCCTCCTTGTTCCTCACACAAGACATTCCATCTCCTGATTCTGCTAATTTTCACTGAATGGCCCCCATGGCTAGAATCTCTCCTTCTTCATGTCGTCCTTCTGGCCTCCCTGATTTCCTTCAAGTTGCAGATAAAACCCCATTTTCTGCAAGAAACTTTCCCCAGCCCTTCTTAATCTTGGTGCCTTCCCTCTGACATACCTCCATTTTACCGTGTGTGTACACACACACACACACACACACACACACACCACACACACACACACACAAACGCACATACAAATGCACACACGTACACATAAAATCTTGTTTTTACATAGTTGTTTACATGTTGTCTTATCTGTTAGACTGTGAGGTCCCTGAGGGCAGGGACTGTCTTTTGCCCTTTTTGGTGTCCCCAGTGTTTAAGTACAGTGCCTAGCACACAATGAGGATTTGATAAATGCTTGTTAGCTTAATTAGGCTGTAAGCTTTGAGGGCAGGGACCTGGGCTTGTGGGGACATTGTAACACTAGTGAATGTCTCTTGACCTTGGTCCATTGCTCTTCCCTGTTTTCTGCTCTGTTTAGGAGGGAGGCTGATGGGAAGATGTATGTGAAGTACCAGGTGATTGGCAAGAACAGTGTGGCGGTACCCACCCACTTCTTCAAGGTGCTGATCCTTGAGGCTCCTGGGGGGCAGATCGAGCTCCGTTCCTACGTGATGCCCAATGCACCTGTGGATGAGAATATCCCCCTGGAGCGCTTCCTGGTTCCCATTGAGAGCATAGAGCGGGCCTCTGGACTGCTCTTTGTGCCCAACATTCTCACAAGGACGAGCAACCTGAAGGCCATTGCCCCCGGGGCTAAGTGAAGGCATTGAGGGGCGGGACAAAGGGACCTGGAGAGAGACAGAACAAGGGGCGGTCCAGTGCAGTGAATGGAGTGTGGGACAGGGCAATGGGATTTTGAATCCTAGCTCTGCTGTTTATTACCTGTATGACGTTGAGGAAGTCATTTCCCCATCTGTAAAATGCCAGAATTCCTAGAGCTGGTGGATGGATACCTGAACCTTCCCTGTTTATTCCTGGGCATCTTTGGGGGCAAGAGGTTACCCTCTTGGCTAGAAGTCCACCCCTACCCCTGCGTACCTTGACTTGTCTTTGGGCCTGCTTCTGGGGGACAGATCTGCCTAGGGATTTTTAGCTCTCTTGGGAGAGGTTTGTCTCCCCTAGTACTGTTTTAGGAGGTTCTCAGGCACCTCATATTAATGGTGGGAAAGTGGCACTCCCTGTGCCTTATATTTTGTTGAACCTACCCTTAATAGGCTAGAGGGGTACTCCTCAAACCCCTTGAAATAGAGTTTCATCTTTGTAATAAGGGGTTTGCCGCTGTTCCTTGGTTGTGATCCGTGATCTACTAGACCTGGAGGGTGGGCATACACTTAGGTTGGAAAGGATCAGAAAATCCCAAGGATTCCACAGCTTAGTGGAGTCAGCCAGTGCTATTGGGCACCTTCGTCACACCTGTATACTAGACTGCTTTGTTTCCGTCCCCACTACCAAAAGGTCTTTTGGCAAAGTTGTTTTGCCAGATTCTTGGGCATCATTTTCCCATCTGAAATGAGGGGGTTGGTAAGACATTAAAAAGAAATACAAAAAATTACAATGTTGAAGCGTGCATTGTGGTAAAAATTATATTTCTCAAATTAATCTATAGCTTCAATGACAGACCAAATTACTAAGAGAATACTTTATGTAATTAGAATAACAATTTATGTGGAGGATATTACCAAGGGATTACTTTAGAATTGGGCAAAATAATATATTTCATCTTGAGGAATAAAAGTTCAAGAATATCTAGGAAACAATGAAAAAAGTAGGAATGAAGTCAGTTTGGTATTGTCAGATCTCAAAAGAACACAAAGTACTGGAGGAAAAGCTCCTGGGAAGACTGGTTAGTAGTTTGGTAGCAGATAGGTTTAGACCTGCCTATTACACCATATGCTACAGTACCAAGTAGGTAAATTGGTTAAATAAAAAAGCTGTACTGTTGACAATTTAGGGGAGGAAGAAGAGCAATCCTCCTCCTAACTCTTAGTAGGGGATGAATGTGTAACCATGGGTGATGCAGATAATACTATGGAAGATAAAATAGACTACTTTGATTACTTGAACATTTGTAGAATTTGTAAAAGTTTGAAATGCAAAATCTGCCATGAACTTCTACAATATGATTAAAAGCCACTCTACAATAGATAAATGGTTTCCCTTTTTCAGACCATTCCCAGAATCATTTTTGGGAACCTTCATCGGACCCAGTTCGTTAGCTTTGAAGAATACTATCCCCAGTATTTTATAGAAGTACCTCATCTCCTCTAGAATTTGATTGCACAAAACCTGAAAGACCTCTGAATACTTAGATCCAGTTACCCTTTGTTTGAAGGATTCCAGAATAAGAATAAGATGTGTTTGGGCTTGGTGAATGATCAGACCCAAGGTGGTAAACATTAAGTCCTTAAGAGGCAGTTCAGACTTCTGCTTGAACACTTCTGGTGATGAAGGGCTTGCTATAGTATAATAAATCATTTTACTTTTTTTATGTAAAAAAGATTTGTGTGTGACCATTTCAGGTTTGAATAGCTCTAAATGTTATATTGATCTGAAATCTGCCTCTCTTTAATTTCCCACCATTGGTTCTAGTTGTGCTTTTGTAAGCTGCATTGGACAGTTGTTCTTATGGCCCATCAGATGAAGACAGTGATGGTAGTTATAGCTCTTCGAGGTTAAGCATCCCAATTCCTTCAACTAATGATTTTCTCTCAGTGTGCTTTTCATCTTGTAGACAAACTCCAGGTTGTCAGTGTCCCTTTTAAAATATGGGAACCAGGGAATACCAAGGATGGAGTAACTGGGACTTTTCAGAAGTTCAGCAGCATAGAAAAGACTGAGTCTAGTACCTAGTCAGCAGAAATGATTAGTTAAAATAGGAAGCTAGTAATCGGCAGGTTTCACCCACCCCATAGCCAGGAATAGTCCCACAATGTCTCCTCCATGGGAGGGGGAAGGGGAGGTTTGGGATGGAGTATGTTATCTCCCACTGAATTTGTCTTAAAAAATTGATTTGAGGGTTATGAAAGTCACTCTTAAAGGCCTGCCACAAAGTGAAGACAATGCTCCAGATGTCATCTCACGGCAAAGAACATCACAAACCCTTTTCTCCGGGCATTGTATTTGTAATTAAGGTAGCAAGAAATCTCATTAATGTTTTTGTTGAGCTAATTCAGATTGTGAAAATTTTCTCAAGTGAATTACTTGTCAAATAACACTGCCCATCCTGATCCATAAATACCAACCCAACCCACTAGTCCTGAATTTTCAGTCTCTGTCTCTAAACAGCCATATTGAACAGATGACCAGAGTTAATGGTATGGTGTAAGTTGTACTCAGTAGTGCCAAGCTCAGGAGCTACAGTGGAGTGTATCCCCCAGCACTTAAACTAGGGCCATCCCTAGCACTCTGAGAATCTAAGTAGTCACTGGTTATAGCTGCCTCCTGGTGATACAACCTCTTGAACTGGGGTCAGGTGGAGCAAATGGGCCTAGCCCAGGAAAAGAGAGAACCTGGAGAGAATTGAGGGGATCAGTGCCATTCCCAGGCAATACTGTGGTGGTCCCATCCAGGATTTACTGGGGTGCCCTTTGTTCTGGCAGGAATTCACTAAATTATCCATTTAGAACTTATTGGATACCCTAGTGACAGAAATCCCCTAGAGAAATTATTCGAATATTTTTTAGGGGGCAGTTTTTCAGCACCTTATTTTATAAAGGGATCATTTATGGGATGCTTATAAGATCATGAATTTATGGCCAGAAGGGATTGTAGAAGTAAGTCCAACACTTATTTTACACATAAGTAAACTGAGGCAGAGTTTAAGTTGCCCAGGGTCACACATGTCCAAGGTGGGATTTGAATCCAGATTTCCTTGATTTCAAGTTTTGAACCTACTCTACCATGATGATGCTACCTCTCATGGGCATGAACAAGAGTTCCACAGGATAAGAAGGTATAGATTGGTTGTAACTTGCACCAGGGGACAATATCTACATTGGGGAGATCACAAATCCACTGAAAGATACCTTACCAAAGCTAATCTTTGCCCCCTATGCTAGAGCCATCTCTCCTTTTCCTATCCCATCCCTTGCTCCTTTAATTGTTCCCTCTCCATCATCTTCAGTCTCTTTTCTCACTAATTCTTTCCCTTGGTCTAAAAAATTCTGCCTCATTTTCCTTAAACAGCTGGAAAATTCCCTTCCATTGAATGCCTGGATTCTTCTGGCTCCTGTCCCTTGCCCCCTTATCCAGCATCTTTCCTGAAATATATGACCTATCTCAATCTTCTCCCTTCTGTTTAATCCCCTGCAATCTAGCTTCTGTCCCCAATATTTGCCTGAATCTGCCCCTCCAAAGTCACAGATGACTGACATGAATGGCTTTCTCCTAGGACTCTTAGGTTTAAGAAAGAAAGCTTGCCCTGGCTTTATGGGAATAAGCAGCCTGAGGACAGGCTAAGAGTAGTGATAAGGATGGGAGCAGAGGTTCTTCCTCTCTGCTAAAAAGCTTTGACATCTTCAGAGTCCCCAGGAAGCTGGCGGCTTGCTTGGGACAGGATGTGAAATTCTCATTCCTCTGGACATGCAGTCCAGATAGATAGAAGACATCCGAATGGAGCTATGTAAGAAGCTTAGTGCTGCCGCTTTATGGTCATGTCTGTAAATGCACCCACTTTCATGGAGTCAGGACAAGCACACCTGTACTGCCACCTTCTGGTCACAGAGGGCATCACATCCGTTTCATGGAAGCCTCAGCCTAGTGGGTACCATTTTTTTGCAGCTATTATTTTCCCACTGCACTAGAACCTTATCTGTAGGCAGAGGGATGTAGTGGCATATGCATTGGACTCTGAAAACTGTTTCTCCCCTGTAAAGTGGGGATAATTACTGCCCTGCCTACTTCATAGGAGGCAAGAGGACCATCTAAACTTTCTAGCTAGCACAGTGCTCTGCACACAGCAGGCACTTAATGGCTGTTGAAGGTGCTTTATAAACCATAAAAGGCTGCTATTATTATGCACAGCATGCAACTAAAATATAAAAGGTTTGTAAAAGCAAGCTAGGAAAAAGAAGAGGCACTGCCCCACTTTATTTATTGGCTCACTGTCTGTTAGGACCTCCATCCCTCTTGCCCCTGGGCTAAGCAGACCCCCAAGAACTGCTTTCAATCCTGGGTCGCTGCTCATCCATCTTGCACCTGGTGGCAAATCAGGTCTTGAAGCTTCCCATCAGCGGATCTGCTGCCAACAACAGGGCAGTCAGCGCTGCAGTCAGTCTTAAGAGCAGTATCCTGTGATGTCTTCAGTCAGGCCGAGCCCCAGCCACAGTGACACAAGGTCGTAGGGTAGCCAAGGAGATGAGGATGGCTTCCTAGAATAGGAAAGAATGGAAAGATCTAACTTGGCAGTACTAAGAAGCAGAACCCAGGTTCCCAGATCTCCAGTACAGGGATCATCCCCCTCTTCATTCCCATAATACCCCTTTTAATGTATAATAATATGTCCAGGAGATGGCACTATTATCTTTTTGGGGAATATACCCCACACGTGGAAGAATGCATCTTTCTGGAATGTGTCCAGTTTCTACCTAAATAACCTCTTTAGTCACAGTTCCAAATTTGTAAAAATGATGGGGTCGAACTAACTCATTTCTAAAGGATCTCCTCATTCTAACATTTAATATTCTATGACTTCATCTTTCCATCTACAGCAAAAGGCACCAGCTTCAGATGGGCAAAGGACACCTGGGGAGGTGAGAGGCAATGACAAAAGGAGAAAGGAACCTGCCACCCCCACCCCCCAGCTGCTGCTAGAAGCTTCAATGTACCATGCCCAACGGAAAGGAAGGCAAGAGGAATTCTTCAAGGGTTTTCTGGACAGTTTCAGGGTTCAGCCCTGGCCAGTGGGAAAGGAAGTGGTGTCACAGGAAGGTGGGAGCCATGGGAGAAAGGTCACTAGGATTCTTACCTCAGTACGAATGGTGCGGCTGCCCTGTCCTGGACAGGTGTTGAGGTAGAAGTCAAAGAGAACACTAGGATCTGTGACCTCTAGGTTGGGATCAGCCTCAACACCAGCCTCTAACCCCTGGAGGCCCCCAAATACCACAATGGCATGGCTTGAAGGAAAGAAAAAAGAGATGAGCAGAGAGCAGGGGAAGGTGAAAGCGGGTGCTCAAATTGGGGTGTTCACAACATTTCCAATGTTTGTTCAAATCTTATTCAGCCTCCACAGCCAGCTGACATGCCACCCCTCCTTCAGGAAGTCTCTTTAGCCATTCTGAGTTTCTAAAGCACCACACAAATTACCACAGGCCTCTTTCATGTGTAGCCTCTACGCTGACAAAGAGAAGCCTCCGGAAGACAAGCTTACTGCAGCCCCCAAGTATCTGAAGGGCTGTCGGGTGGAAAAAGGACTGCCTGCTCAGCCTAGGCCTAGAGGACAGAACTAGGAGCTCTTGATGGAAACTATCATGAGGCCAACTTTGGCTTATAAGGAAAAACTCATCAGAAAGAGGTAGACAGTGGTTCCTAAGTTGTTTGTCTTTAAAAAACAAAAACATGGGACAACTAGGTGGTAGAGTGCATAGAGCACCACCCCTGGAGTCAGGAGAATCTGAGTTCAAATCTGCCCTCAGACACTTGACACTTAACTAGCTGTGTGACCCTGGCAAGTCACTGAACCCTTAAGTGATTGCCTTGTAAAGCAAGCCCACACACCCACATGGTAGATAGCACACGTGTGTGCACGCACACACACATAAACACACACACACGTTAGACAGTACGTTCTCCATCCCTGACGTTGTCCAGACAGACTGGCAGGGATACTGCAGAGGATTTCTCTTCAGGAATGTATCAAACCAGCTGACCTGTAAGGAACCTCCTAATTGTGAGGTTCTCTCATCCAGCCTTCCCAACCCAAGTCACTTTACCTTCCTAGCTGAGTAATAAAGTCTGTCAGAGGCAGAGACTATATGTTCTCTGGCCTATCTCAGAGCTTGGCACACAGCAGGTAGCTGTAACAATTGATAACTAAT